ACCGAAGAAACGTTCGAAATCACTCTCGGTGACTGTAGCATGTTCGTCGGGATACAGATTTGTCGCGATAGAGAATTGAGATCGATGTTTATACATCAGACAGCGTACGCGACAAAGATTCTAGAGCGGTTCGGAATGAGCCAAGCGAAGGGGGTATCGGTACCGGCAGACCCTTATTCTATTTTGTATCCGGTAGAAAAGGACGAGAAGAGACAGTTGTCGGTCCCGTATCGGGAGGCTGTCGGTTCGTTACTGTTTCTCGCGGGTGTAACGCGTCCCGATATAGCGTATTCGGTAAACACTGTAAGTAAATTCTTAAACAATCACGACGAGAGTCACTGGCAGGCGGTCAAACGAATCTTGTCGTATTTAGTTAAAACCGTAGATATCGGTATTGAGTTTCGCGCGGACGAGTCAGGAATCAATCTAGTCGGGTACTCAGACGCAGACTTTGCGAGCGACGTTGAAACGCGCAGATCCACAACAGGGTACGCGTTTCTCATAGCAGGCGGAATAGTAACGTGGTCGTCTCAGCGACAGAAAATGGTATCGTTGAGCACGACCGAGGCGGAATACGTAGCAGCGGCTACCGCAGCAAAAGAGGCAGTGTGGCTTCGGAAGCTGCTCTCAGGTATCGGTTTTAAACAAGATAAACCGACCGTCTTGTGTATCGATAACCAAAGCGCGATACGACTTGTTAGAAAGTTCCATAAGAGAACCAAATATATTGATATAAAGTATCACTATATTCGGGAACAGGTCGAGAATTGTGAAATAGATACGAAGTTCGTACCTACTGAAGTGCAATTAGCTGATATATTTACAAAGGCACTTCCAAGGGATAGGTTTGGTAAACTGTACACGAGTCTCGGTTTATATGCGAAACGCTCCGACGGCGGAAGTATTAAGGCAGGTCGTCACATTTCGTACGCGGGAGCGCGAGCATGCACGAAAATTGCCGAGCGTGGCAACGAATAATTTCGAGTCTCGCGATCACGCGTACTAAGTCACGGTCACAGTCGCTGCACGACGGTAACCGACAGAAGTCGGCTTGTACACACGTTCTCCCTTTGTGAAAAATAAACGCGAATTGTACTGTGAAATCTCAAAAGCAATCTCTCTCCGTAATCCACTTTTCCTAAATAACATAGCCTCATCATAAGCAACACCGTCATGCAGAAGAACTACGTCAATAGGAGGCCACTAAACGCGACGAAAAAGAACGAAAAGAAAGGCAGAAGATCGAAAAGCAAAAAGCTGCAGAGGAACGGAGACAGCATAAAAAGAAGCTCGATGAGCAAATTAAACAACTGCAGCAGCAAAAAAGAGAAATCATAGCTAAACTAAAAAAAGAAAAACGAGGAGGATAAATAATGTTGAACTATTTTTATTTCTTATAAACTGTTTCCAAAGATGATATACTTTAAGTTTTCGCTTCTAAAAATCTTAATTATAATACTTATAATTACTATTTATATTTTTTAACTCTAATGATGTATAATTCATAAAATTATTTATTGAACTCCAATGATTAAATAAATATGATTATTTATCAAATTTGTCTGCTTATTTCTAGTGGTTACTTATAGGGCAGGTCAAATGGAACCACTGGTACCACTCCATTTTCAGTGGTTGCCGAGTGGTTACCTATTGGGACATGGCATACCTGTTATATTTTGAACCTTTTTATTACAATAATTGTATAAAACACGTTTGATTTTTTTATTTTTCAACTCGTTAATATCTAAAAATCAAATAAAACAATTTACTTAAACGAAAACATTAAAATAATTCTTTTTAATCAAGGTTGAAGGGAGGAGGTTCCTTGAGTGGTTCCATATTGGTACATTTACCTTAGTACACACATTGCACATACTTTTATTTTTTAGCAATTTTCTCACAACAAATCCACTAATATGTGCTACTACATCTTCTACAAAAGGACTCAATGACCATAATGTAGATAAATAGTCGTGATCAAATATATCGATAGACGTTTCTTTTTCCTCATCACAAGGTAGATTGTTAGTGATAGAATTTTTCGCTGACGTAACATACAATATTTGAATGTCATTAATTAAACAGTTTCCTTTTTCGGAAGCGGAAATTTCATGTCTGACTAGTAGTCTTTTATAGCTAGTCTCAAATTGCATTGCACTAGGATTATCATTAAATCCTCCTTTGCTCCTAAGTGCGCTGAAAAAAGTTTCTAAATGGTCTTGGCTGATTTTATATGTTAACAAATATTGGAGATCGACATTTTTCAATTCTGTAAACAAATCAAACATATTTTTTAAACATACAATAAAGCCGAGGAACCCAATTTTCCGATTTCCAAGTAAGATGGACTTTTTGTTATTATCTTCTAACTGCAAAATGTAGTTTTCGAGAGTATCAGCGTAACCTTTCAATTCATTAAAATTATCGTCTGTAAGAGCTACACGACACTTTTTAAGTTTCGAAAACTTAGATCTGACATTTAACAAATCAAATATATCGTTGAATACTTTGCAAAATTGTGCAGTGGCTTTTGGGGATTTCAAATAATTTGGACGAGATTTTTCAACAAATTGCAAAGCACAACTGACGCTTTCACTTAGCGTCTGAGCTGCTAGCTTTACATTCATTTTGTTTGTTTGATATGTGATATGTTTCTTTGTAATCTTAGTAGCAGCTCTTAAACCTTCTTCTTCCTGCAATTTATGAAGAAGAACTATATCTTCCCACAAGATTTCTTCCCCACCAAATATTAAAATTGATTTGTCTCCTAGAGTGTTCCTTACCAATTTTAACATATGGCATGGATCAAAGAAACAGTAAATCTTGTTCTGCGTTGCCGGATCAATGAAGTAAGGTTTAAAATTTTTGCCGATTTCAAAGTTTGCATATAAACAGGTGCACTGTTTGAGAAATTTCCTCCCTTTCGAATCTCGTCATGAGATCGAAAGATCGCGAAATCTCCGTGAGCGCTGCGAGTGGATCGGGGGGTGAGAAAGGACGTGCAACGTGGCGAGAATGACTACGATTCGGTTGTTAAAATGAGTTAACTGTTTAATTGTATGTACACTATATACAGTTGAGCGTTACCGAGGCGTATGATTGAGGTGAGCGAGTCCGTCGAGCTCTCTTGTTCGCACAAGACCGTCGGGGATGTGCCGCCCGTTGAGCCGGTGGCCGGCTACAAGCGAGCGTGCACGTACAAAATGAGAGGCCTTTGCGCAGAACACCGATGCACTCGACTTGAGCACTTAACTAATGAGTCTGTCCAGGGGTTAGCACTAATTGTCAATGTGAGCTAACAAGCACTGAGATCGCACTTGTTCCCGTGAGCGCGAGCGCGATACTTTTTGTCTGCCGATGCGAACTTTACCACAGCTTACAACGGCTGCTTTCACACGACTACTGAGCTCTCTGAGCTTGCGCGCAAGCCCGCGAGCCATGTTCACGGGCCCGTCACGTGCTCGTTACCCGGCCGCGCGGTCGCGCGCGCGGTACCACTGGGCCTTGCAAATAACCGTGAGATGGCGAGGGCAGTACAATTGAGATAACTGGAGGAATCTCAAACATGCACATATTAATATTGACGCTGGCTCCATCAAACGTTAACGATCGTACAACAATACCCGATTCATGTATGAATTCTAAACATTTTTGCAGCAAACTAGATCTCTCTTTACCATTTAATGATTTTATCAAAAAATACCCAACGGGCACTTTCCAGTGACCATTTATCGCAACAAGCATAAAAACCAATGCGTGCCTCGCTCTTTCAGGATTATCGCAATCAATCTCTCCATTTACTCCAAGATCAACGTATCCGTAGTACCTTCTCCCGTCGTAATCTATTGACTCACGAATTGCAACCTCATCGATTACCAGATTGCACAGAATTGGCACTTGGCTTTGTTTGACTTTACATTTTAAAGCGTGAAATACCTCGTCTGTGAATCCAGGTCTCCCATTTATAACACTGTACCACTTACGAATAGTGGAACGTTCGGGTAAAAGATTTTTAAATTTCGCCTGACGTAGTCATAAGCCTTTGAGGAATAAAAATTCAAAGTCAGTGCAAACTTCCTCAACTCCTCTGAATATTTTTTCTTCAATCCCTTCTTCCTCTTCAATATCTCATGTATGATGTCAGGACTTCCATTCTAAATATTGAAATAATAATGGAATTTTTATAATAAATCAGTGTAAATCAATCCATTGTAAGACAGCAAATTATATAAAATTATAATTACGTATGAATTCTAAAAATTCATTGACAATTTATGCTATATACAAATTCTTATCTAAATAATTTTTAACTAATTCTTAATTCTTAACTTCAAAATAGTTGCATTTACAATTGGAGTTATCAGTTATCAGTAACGTTGTAATGTAAACTTTACCATTAAATTGTCGAACGCACTTTCAGAAATTAAATTCTTTCGTTTCAACTCAGTTAACAAGTCTTTCATGCTTTTTATACGCGCACGTAATCTATTTCGTGACTGTTGCAATGATTTAATAGTCTTCTTATGTTGACCGATAACTCGTCGTGTCAGAGCTATAGCTCTTTTTGCCCGTCGAGGTGTAGCTAAATGTGGCGTTCGAATGTCGCCAACGTATCGAGGTTCGGAAACAGGAGGTGTCCTTGGAGGTGTCCTTGGAGGCGTCATTGGAGGTGTCCTTGGAGGTGCCCTTGGAGGTGTTTGACAATTCACTGAAAAAGTACCCAGGTAGCACATGGTGGTAAATATATGTTTTAAATACGTTTCTTAAACGTATCTAACAATAAGACTTTATAAACGTTTAGGAAACGTATATAAAACGTATATGTATCACCGTGTGCTACCTGGGTATATAATTATTAATACTACTATTACGTGTAACTTTATTATTATTATTTATTCTTCAATTAATTTATTGGTTAATATTACATATTTATTAATTATAATATATATTAATATATATTTTAATATATATTATTGCAAATATATTAATATAAATTATTACCTTCAATCGCTGTAGATACAGTATTAGCTGCTGTCTGAGAATTGTCAGAGGATGTATTAGCTTCCACAACACCAGCTTCCACGGACACAATTTTATTCAAATTTGGTTTTTTCATTAGTGATTGGCATTCGTAATCTATTGTATTTGATCTAAAATTGTACATAGCCGTACTAAATTAAATGTGTAACGGAGGCGACAGGGGAGGCGCGGGCAGTAGAAAGAGACGCACGACGATATGCGAGTACAAGCGAGAGAGCAATAGCGACGCGGTTGCCGCATCAACTTTAGCCGGCAACGCCGCGCCTGCCCCTGCTGTCTCTACCCCGCGCGCCTATACTCTGGGAGGTATAAAAGCCCTTCCGGAGCAGGCGATTTAAGTCAGTCTTGCCTCGGAGCACCGAGCGACGACAACCGGCGGTGGATGCCTCCCACATCCACTGCGGTATACGCCGAGTACACGGGTGCTCCCGTCAATCGGCAGTATACCATTCCGGAACACATGACAGTGGAGGCGCTACTCCATCGTGTGCCCCGACCCACAGTAACGTACACCTAACGGGATGCTTCCCGGTGTACACAGGTTACTATTCCCGTACCGGTCTCCTGTATCCGTTCCTGACTCCGTTCCCCCCGTGACAGCGGACGCCTCCGTGTTTCGAGGGGACGGGGTATCTCCGCAGTAACGTACACCTAACGGGGTGCTTCCCGGTGTACAAATATTACTGAAAATTCACGCATAACGAGGCGCTGCTCGGGCGTGTTCCAGTCCTGTACCCGGCTCCGTTTCCGTCTTAGCATCGGGTACACTCGTGATTTGACGGAGCGGAGCACGCACGCTCTACGAGGTACTTCTCGGCATGTTCCTGTCCTGACCTGATCCTTTTCCTGTTCCTGACCGGTGTTAGAGCTTTGGGGGGAAATATTCGGGTGGGAAAAGAATTTCTCATTAATTCTAGTTCTAAGCTCCGTAAAAGTAATCCCGACACTTTTCTCCCTTACAGACCAGAGGATCCCGTATAGAGACATCCTCTCCGATCATCCCAGCGCATACCAGTGTCATATCATATACATGGTCTGTCCTTAAAGTAGTCGGACTGATTTTTTCCTAGACAGACGGACGGACTGCCGGCGGTTTTTCCGCCTGGTGTTGGTGGAGGGGGGTCTAAGGAAAGGCTGGAAGCCAGGGGGATTCTGCTCGCAGCCGTAGTGGAGTGTAGATTGCTTGTCTCCATAACCTCTGCAAATGCCCTCGTCACGCTGCGCCATGGCTCATCTGTTGGAACAGCGCTACGCCATCAAATTTTGCGTTAAGCTCGGCAAAACCGGGAAAGAGACTCATGATATGATCAAGACGGCTTACGGTGATAACGCCATGGGTAGATCGAGTGTTTTCGACTGGCACAAGCTGTTTCGGGAGGGGAGAGAGGAAGTTGAAGACGACGCACGTTTAGGACGACCTTCGAGCTCCAAAACTGACGAAAATGTAA